CGTCATGTTTATGAGGAAGAAGTTAGTACCTTCACCAGTGTTCGGAAAATAGGGTAAAATGGCAGTTTTCCCAAACTCCAAAAAAATCGGAGGCCTGGCCCAACAACGGTGGCCATTGATAAATCTGATAGGCGGCTGTCGTTTCATTTCGGCCCTCCTAAAAGGTCGGAGGCCCACCGAGGCCCAGTATTTTCCCACTCGGCAAAGGTACTAGTGGTTTAGCGAGGCAGTTACAAACTGAAAAAAAAAAAAGATAAAAAAAACATGCGCGCTTGGGCCACGTTTATCTGCTGTAGTACGGGAGGCCAGGTGGATTCACGGAGAACACTTCGACCAGGCCATTTGGACCTGGTAGCAACAGTTTGCCCTGTCAAACTCTCCCGTTTTCCTGATTCTGAAAGTGGTAATGTCAGGAGGGCAGTCCAAGTCGGGGGCAGATGGGGCTCATCGACGATCTGGCTGTCACGAACAACCGACCGTGTGCGCGCATGGTGTGGCCTTTGACACCGACCATTGAGCATGAGAGATAACCGCACAATTGAGCACGAGGAAGTCTGCCGTAGCATGGCCCACACTCCAGAGGCCAGGATGATTCACGGAGAACACTTCGACCAAGCAACAGTCGGGCCATCGACAATCTGGCCATCAGGAACAATCGATGTTGGCCCCATATTGTGGCCCTTGACTCCGTCCAGATAGGTGACCGCACAATCGAGCATGAGCAAGTCTACTGTAGCATGCCTCACACGCCAGAGGCCGGGAGGATGCACGGACAACACCTCGACCAGGCCATTTGGACCTAAGTAGCAACCGTTTGCCCTGTGAAACTTCCCCATTTCCTGATTCTGAAACTGATACCGTCAGGAGCGCAGTCCAAGCCGGGGGCAGATGGGGCCGATCGACAATCTGGCTGTCATGAACAATGGAAGATGCCCGCATGGTGTGGCCCTTGACTCAATGCAGAGGGGTAACCGCACCATTGAGCACGAGGTCAGAAAACATGGAGGCCCTGGTGGCTCCCCCTTCTTTTGCAGAATCAGGAAAATGGGAAACAAATTTGGATAGGCAGCCAAACGATCAAGATCGGTGGCTATAATTCGTCGAGCAGAAAAGTAGCTACAAGCGCGTCCAAATTTGCACGCCCCTGCAGCAAGCTGGCTTGGTCTAACTTCTCCCAACGTCTACAATGTCATTGCTAAGAGTCTCTGTCCACTTATGGCCATATCCTCATCACCGGCAAGGCTGCAGCCAAGAAAGGGAGTTCACTTTCATCATCATATTTTCTTCTAGTTCTTCTTCTTATTCTCCACCTCCTCTTACAATCTGTGAGTTACTGTTTTCCGTGGTGCAAGGGCGGCCTGCTCTGCAGCAGCAGGTGGGCTAATTGTGCTGCAAGAGTGCACATAGAGAGAGAGAGAGAGAGAGAGAGAGAGAGAGAGAGAGAGAGAGAGAGAGAGAGAGAGAGAGAGAGAGAGAGAGAGAGAGAGAGAGAGAGAGAGAGAGAGAGAGACACACAGACACAGACACGCACACAAGGTGGGCAAAAATTGTTGAATTCCGACAACTTCTATTACGAACTCAGCCAAGGCTCGATCCCTGGTCCACGGGTTACCATCCGCCAGGCTGTATTTTTGAGTCTCTGATCTCCGGTTCCTGACTGTTGGCGCCCTCTGCAGTTGACGCCCGTTCTCAAATCCCTTCTCTGGCATTTTCGGATTTCAATACTTGGCGCCATCCGGCATTCTGGCGCCCAGGCTCAGACCCTCGATTTCCAGTCCAGCCCCGAGGCAAATTGCACTTTTGCCCTCGGACTCAACTTGAGTACGGTACTTAAGACCAGACTCAAGCTGAGTTCGGGGGGACTCAGTTTTCAGCCTCAGTGCTTGTGCTTCAGTGCGACTTTCTGCAACATTGTGTTTGGAACCAAGATTGCGACTTTGCAACTTGGCCACTTTGTGTCTGCGTCCGTCGAGTCGTGTCGAGTCCGTGTCGAGTCGAGCGAGTGTGTGTGTGTGTGTGCTCTCACTTCCTCCCTCTCTCTCTTCCCCGGCCTTGCTGCTCTGCCCCAGCCTCGTCACAACTTCCACACACCAGTGACTTGGGCTTTCTCTGACACACACACACACAACTTCACACGTGCACATGTACTTTCACAGAGCACATGCACTCGCACAAATCCACACAAACATACGCACACACACACACAAACAGTATCCAACAGAGGGAGAGAGAGAGACCCAGTCTGTGTACAGCCTGTCATGAACCTGCACGCTTTGAATGTCGGAAAGACCACCACTCCAACATGCCCCTTCCGACCACCACCCAAACCAATCATGAAAGAAAAATGTAGAAGGCGAGGTTAAGGCACTTCTCTTTCAGTGCAGCACCACCCAACACACAAAAGAATTCGCCAATAAAATTTATGTCCCCAACTTTCACTCGCCAAAGTTGACCCAGGCACGTCCCGTCTGGTCGCCAAGGCTTGGCAGGCACAGCCAGTAAAAGGGTCTTTACGATTCAGACCCCAAATGAGTATCCCAGCACAGTGGGGCCCGATGGCCAGAACTTAATTTTCACGTGTAGCATTCCAAAAGACAAGTACTCTGAGGCAAAGGTCGCATCCAAATGAAAAAGGAAAAGTCGTGTGGAAAGTCACAGTCAGGTCCTGGACGAACAGGCACTGTGTTTTGTTTTAGTACTAAAGATAAGGTCACGTCTGGGTCACAGTCCCAGGCCAGTCACAGTTCCCAGGGTCACGTCTGATTCAGTCCAAGAGTCCAAAAGACAGGCCCGACTGCCACAGCAGCAGCAGACCATGGGAAAGGGTACTGGGACACATTTTGCAGCAGCAGGTACTGGGTAAGAGTCCCAAGTGAAGGGAGGCTGGACGCAGACCTCATTCAGTCAGTCCAATCGTATAAAGGACATGGCCAGCCTCCCATTCGGCAGATTCTCATGGGCATGAGGGTGTGGAAGTGCTGAGGCACTTGTGCACCAGAATGCTAGTGAACTGCGCTAAGGAAGAAGAAGGGAGCTGGGCGCTGGCTGAGAGAAGCAGCCATAGCGCTGCCAGCAGAGTTGGTAGCAGTAGAAGGGTTAGTAGTAGGAGTACCGGTGAGTAGTATTCAGAGTAGATCCTCGTGTGATAGGGAGTGTGCATGCATGATGAGTGTGAGTAAACCAGGACTATAGACATAGAGGGAGAGAGAGAAGAAAGCAGACAAAAGAGGGGGAGGAGTGATCTATGGTGACAATAACCTGTTGAGCGCTGTTGATCATGAATGGCAGTTGGCGCTGATGAGCGCCAGGCTTGAAACTCGTAATTGATTGAAGAGTACTTGTAACTCTGTTCAGCGCTATACATTTTTGGACTCACGTTTCCCTCTCCTAATCTGGTTATGATGTTTTGAGTTGAGCTTCCTGCTTCTCATTCGTTTTCCATTGAGCTATGAGTGAGATATCGCAATTTGTGAAATCTGTGTTTATGCATGTGATCTGAAGCACTCCAGCAAGTGATGAACAGTCGGGTTCCTTGCACCAGGCAGATTTGACCTGGCTGTGCGACGAGGGTCCCATAACAGGATGATTTGGGGAGGCGGCCTGGATTTCTGCTTTGGGTGCAAGGATCTCAGAGCTGTAAAGCCGTCTTCTCAAACAAAAAAGGGCTACATATTACAAATAAACTTGTAAAGGCCGAAGGCCGGCAGCCTAGCTCAGTTGGTAAAGCACGAAAGTGGCATTCAGGAGGTTGTGGGTTTCATTCCCCACACCTTCAGCTCTATCAGTCTATGATATGATATAAAACAAAAGTGAGAAGTAGCGAAGGGCACTGCCATATCCAAAACAGTGCATTGGGTGGATGCCTTGGCATTGAGAAAGAAAGAATGCAATGAAAGGCAAAACGCCACAGGGAGAAGCTCGCTTTGATCCATGGATTTCCTATCGGGAAACCGCGACGAAGTTGACTTAGCGAAACTGAAAAAGTGTCCATTTCGAACCCCCACAGCCTGCTGCGGCTCGCTACAGGCTCACCAGCTGAGATCGTCAGCTTGCCCACCTGGGTAAGATGGGTCATCCATTGCCCGGGGTTAGGAAGAAAGCTGCGGCGCTTAGACACGGTAGGAGGTCCAAGTCAACCCATAACTGCAACGATTAGGTAGTGTGAGGTATATGAGTGAAGAATATAGCTTAGTCGGTTTTTTTTTTTTTTTTTTTTTCCTTTTTTTTTAACTTACAACGAAGGCTGTAATGAAGATCAGTAGGTGGCCAAATTTAGCATACTCACATATATGCAGTGACGAGAGCCTTGTGCTGAAATCGTCATTGCCAACAGCCATAGGAGGCGCTCCATTCGTGTTGGCCAACCAGCTAAGCAATCGAGCATCCAATAGTAACCCTTGCGCTTTGGGCAGGATATCCACCTGCAGCATTGCAAGGTCTTTGAAGTCCACATCCACCTGTTCGCAAAAGAGAGGGTGATAGAGAGATCAACGAGTGATATGAATGAGACGACGACGCAGCCGATGATCGAAAAGCACAAAACAAAGACATATAAATCAGAAATTCAACTCAAACTCTAGTAAGCTGAGACTCTGGAGTCCCTTTTCAGGATTCTCGTCCATGGCTTGCGAGTTCAAGACAAATACTGAACAGTACGGATGCCGAGGATTGTCCTCCTTGAAAGCGGGATTAAAGGATGGTCTAGTAAACAAACAAAAAAAATCAGAAAAAAACAACAAACTAAAGTGAAATGAAACAAAGTCTTAGCGACGCTCAACCTCGCAAGCATGCAGAGAACATTCACATGAGAATCCACACATGAGAAACCGAGCCAAGATACAATCAACGCGTGAAGAACTGTAACCGAATTATTATCATTATACAAGGAAATCATTTAACAAACCAGCAGGGTCTTCAGCTCGCACACACCGCATCTCAACCTCGGCTACAGCTGTACTATCTCTATTACTCTCTCCCTCTAGCTTCTCTCTCTCTCTCTCTCTCTCTCTCTCTCTCTCTCTCTCTCTCTCTCTCTCTCTCTCTCTCTCTCTCTCTCTCTCTCCCCCCTATCCCTGGATACACCCACTCAGATAAGCACCCAACTAGGCGGTTATGACCGCAGGAACTGCTACTTCACTATCGTAACTATGGAGTATCTCTCAAGCGCCTTCTTCCTCATCCAGGCGCGATGTGCCCAAGTTCCCTTGACGCACAAGCAACAAAAGCGCTTCTGCATCTTGCAACTGAACAAGTGTTGAGCCGCTGCACTATACCACCTAAATATTGAGTTGGACTTGGCGTGGCTTGCTTCAGACAGGTACTGGTCCGCCGTGGCCTGTCTGCTGCAATCATTTTGAAGGTCCAGTGGCTTCCGGACTTTCCTGGGACATGCTGCAAAACAGAACTTGAAACTAGACTGGATWGTTGTGGACTTTTCTTGTCGGGTACCAGGCTGACTTCTAACGACCTGTGACGCTTCGGTTCCGACACCTACGGGCCTACAACACTTCCAACCTACGGACCGGACCCTAGGACCTATCCTAACGGGACAGCCTGGGATCGAAACCATCTGGGACTGGTCCAACTGGAACTGGGACAATTTAGGACCCTAGGACCGGGACTCGGGTTGTCTGCACCGTAAATCCTTTCAAAAGAGAGCTCCAAAAGGTTAAAAAAAAAACAAAAAAACAAAAAAACAAGGGAACAAAGAGGCCCGCAATGAGGAGGTAAATAAGCCAAGATCAAAATGCAACTGAGAAGATGTACATGAATACACAATTCGGAACATCATATCCATCTCACTGGCACATGCTCTATAAACAAACATGCATTCCCATCTGGGCATCACGGCATGGTTTGCACATATAGACCCACAAGCACTCAACAACCACGACCTAAATATTGAGTTGGACTTGGCGTGGCTTGCTTCAGACAGGTACTGGTCCGCCGTGGCCTGTCTGCTGCAATCATTTTGAAGGTCCGGTGGCTTCCGGACTTTCCCGGGACATGCTGCAAAACAGAACTTGAAACTAGACTGGATTGTTGTGGACTTTTCTTGTCGGGTACCAGGCTGACTTCTAACGACCTGTGACGCTTCGGTTCCGACACCTACGGGCCTACAACACTTCCAACCTAC